AGTAGGACAGCTTTAAATATAAAACAGCAGCCCCAAAACTCAGGTTCAGGCCAGAGCTGTCCCTTGCAGTACCTCTTCTTGGCCACAAGATGTCCATAGTCTTTGCCTGGCATCTCTCAACCCCAATGGCGTGGGTGCGGGGGGTCATGGGTCTGCCCCCTGAGTCTATGGAGGAGGAGGAGGAGCGGAGAAGCACCCAGAGCCCGAAGAGAAGAACCTTCAGCATGAGTGACCGTCCCGGAACCTCCTGAGATGGAACACGCCGGAACCCGGCCCAGTTACGAGGCTCCGCTCCCCTTGTAATGAAGCTGCTGACAGTTTTGTGTGTAACCAGGCAACCGTCTCCTAGGATACTTCCCGCATCCTGTCACTGCATGGAGGCATGAACATTCTGCACAATGGTGCCGGGTGTATGCGGTGTGTATATACGGTGTGTATGCTGACTGGTCTTGTCTCCGCCCCCTCCTGTAATAAAGACCAGTCACTGCTGCTCTGTCTCCTTGTGTAGGGTGACTGGTCATGTCTCAGCCCCCTCCTGTAATAAAGACCGGTCACTGCTCTCTCTCCTTGTGCAGGGTGACTGGTCTTGTCTCCGCCCCTTCCTGTAATAAAGACCGCTCACTGCTCATCTCTCTCATTGTGCAGGGTGACTGGTCTTGTCTCCGCCCCCTCCTGTAATAAAGACCGGTCACTGCTGCTCTCTCTCCTTGTGCAGGGTGACTGGTCTTGTCTCCGCCCCCTCCTGTAATAAAGACCGGTCACTGCTGCTCTCTCTCCTTGTGCAGGGTGACTGGTCTTGTCTCCGCCCCCTCCTGTAATAAAGAGGAGAACACCTAACAAAACCCAAAAATGATCAATGTTTTTGATTTGCAACTCTGCTCATCAGAAGATCCGTCTCCCGCGGTGCGGATTGGCTCTCGAGTTGGCCGTATATTGACCATCGCGTCCGCCAACGGCCACATTCCCCGACTCCTCACACAGAAATCCCGGTGACATAAATACATTCACCGCCGGTGATTCCCACACGCGGCATTCGCATGACACATCGCTGATGTTATCTCCATGGAAACCACTTCCACACGTCTGAGCCGGGATCACTGCACATGAAGAACGCTGAACACTCCGCATGGCGCCGCAGGTGAGAGGAGACTCCATGCGTCATCTCAGGCGGGTGGCATCGGCTCGGATGAAACCAGCAAACGGGAACAACGCACGTCGACATACATCATCCTGCTTCCCGCTGTGTTTGCGCCGCGGCTCCTGCTGTTGGTATAACGGATTCCAAATGACGAGGATGACACGCGGGTCGGCGTACTCGACCCTCCAGCCGTAATTATAATAGAAATCCCGTCATGCCTCTGCGAGTTGTGCCAGAGTCTTGCAATGCCTCATGGGACTTGTAGTTCTACAAAAGCAGTGAGGCCGTAATTCCACGGCCAGCAGGTGGCGCTGTGTACTGTCTGTACATTGAACTGTATTAGTTCCCCGGCCAGCAGGGGGCGCTGTGTACTGTCTGTACATTGAACTGTATTAGTTCCCCGGCCAGCAGGTGGCGCTGTGTACTGTCTGTACATTGAACTGTATTAGTTCCCCGGCCAGCAGGTGGCGCTGTGTACTGTCTGTACATTGAATTGTATTAGTTCCCGGCCAGCAGGTGGCGCTGTGTACTGTCTGTACATTGAACTGTATAAGATCCCTGGGCCAGCAGGGGGCGCTGTGTACTGTCTGTACATTGAACTGTATTAGTTCCCCGGCCAGCAGGTGGCGCTGTGTGCTGTCTGTACATTAAACTGTATTAATTCCCCGGCCAGCAGGGGGCGCTGTGTACTGTCTGTACAATGAACTGCATTAATTCCACGGCCAGAAGGTGGCGCTGTGTACTGTCTGTACATTGAACTGTATTAGTTCCCCGGCCAGCAGGTGGCGCTGTGTACATTGAACTGTATTAGTTCCCCGGCCAGCAGGGGGTGCTGTGTACTGTCTGTACATTGAACTGTATTTGTTCCCTGCCCAGCAGGTGGCGCTGTGTACTGTCTGTACATTGAACTGCATTAGTTCCCCGGCCAGCAGGTGGCGCTGTGCGTCATGGTCTCCTCTTTCCTGGCTCTCCTCTCTGTGTATAGGGCCCGAGCCTCCTGTGTCGTCTGTATTATGTTTATTTTGTTCCATTTCTTTTACTTTGTATATCAATAAGACAAACTTCAAATATGGAACCATGAAATGAGCCCGGAGCACTGCAGCTCACCGTGCGGGGCCCTCAGCGGGGCCCATCCTGTTTACAGACAATGGACGGAGCCCTCACACAAGACTCTGACAGTGTCAAAGCCTGGTCTCCCGGCCGTCCTATTGGCTCTCTGATTTCCCAGGGTCCTCTGCGGCCCCGCTGGTCACCCTGACAACAAAGCCCGCCCACCAGCAACATAAGGGCCCATACCGAGTGTAAGCTTTGGCATGCGTTGCGATTGGTCGGCAGGAGAACGCACAGACTAGAGCCAGCGTGCCGTTGTGGGAATGAACGTTGTACAGTATGACTTCCCCCATATCATCGTCACCCACAACACTGGCAGCCATGGCAACGGTACCCTTGTGTGTGCCTTCCGGATCACCCAGAAGCCCCTGGTGGTAATGAGCTTGCTGCTTCTCCGGGAAGTCTTCCTAGAGCTTGAGGTCAAGTGACAGGCATCCCCCACCAATACTGCACAGACACGTTTGGTCTAACGTTTGCACAAGGACGCCTGTCCAGGGATGCCAGGGGGAGGGGGGGAGCAACGTTCATGATTACAGGACTAACATGCTAAAAAGTGGACATGCACCTTTTATGGCAACGTGTGTGTGTGTGTGGATGAGCCCTGAGGGTTTCTGTAACTGATGCCATATGCACATTCAGGGCCCGTTCACACCAGATGCAGTGCGTTGCGGCCCGATTCTGGCCAGAACGCACACTGCATCGCACTGCGGCCGGCTCACTTTTTTTTTGGGGAATATTTAATTTACAGTTCAGATTCATATAATAAAAAAAAAAATAGAAAGGTAAATAAAGAAGGCCCCGCCCCCTTCCCCTCCCCGAAATCTGTTATTGTTTCTGCTGGAATTTGGTCATGTGCAGTGCGATGGATCCGGCGATGTCGCTGCTGTTCTTGTTCTGTCCATAA